CCAGTGAAATATATTTATGTTTGTGGTTGTAATGTGACAAAATATGGAAAAGTTCAAGGGGTATGAATACTTTTGCAAACCACTGTATATAAATGCTATTTGTGTGAATTAGAGTAAATCAGAAAGTAGTGAAAATAAAAGTTGTTTGAACCAGGTTGTAGCTCAACATTCTTAGATTTTATTTTACRCTTTAAAACAGTTTTTTTACAAGCTGAACTAAATTTTAAATAAATGACAAAAATAATACATTTTTAGCCTTTAAATATTTAAATCTGATTTTTCTTTACTCTATAAAAAACTTTCACATTAAAGACTTCAAGGACAGGAGAAGGGAGTTTTGAAACATAAAAAGCTTTTTCACCAACTGTTTAAATGACACCCCGTCAAAATAAAATACTTTTTTTTCCATGGAGGCCAATGTTCTTTTGTATTTAGACAAAGAAAGTGAAAACTTTCACTACCTAATTTATCTGGTAGCTAAATCTAAAAGGTAAATTCTGTAAGTTTTCTCTCTTTAATCTTCCCTTGATCTTTCTGGAGTACAGTTTTTCAGAGGTAGCTACAAAACTACACAATCTGCTGAAAGTCTTTCTTCCACCGTGACCCATTATCTCACTCGTGATGAGACTTGAGTTGCTCTTGACTGGAACTGGTGGGGCAAATCTGGCTAAGGTTACAGTTTGTGAAGCCACCGGGGGGGGGCTTGATGCAAGAATAGAACATGAATGAGTAGTTCTGAGTCGACATCAGACGAGAACATGTTCKCAGGAATGCATCAACTGGACAGTAAAAGCGCAAACGAGCACAGAAGCGAGTGTGGGATGTGTGCATGTGTAGGTTTATTGTTCGTACTGCCATTAGAAGCACCTATGTGGGTGTTATAGTCACTAACAATGGCTGACTGAGCATGAGTCAATGTGTGTACGGACTGAGTCAGAACAGCTCCCTGATAATGATAAGCCGACTTGCAACATCGTGAGGTAACGACTGAGTTAGAATCAGCAGAAACAGCTTGAACTACTGTCGTGGCCTTTTAACAAATGTTTAATGCCACAAACTTCAAGTCGAGAATTTAGAAACAAAGAAAGTTTAGAGTCTCAGTGGAGCAGTCTTTCAAAAGCCCCCTTTTCTCAGCTCACACTGGTCAAAGTGCATTCTACTASAGGGGTGATATCATCAGAGCTTCCTGAGCAGGAAGTTGGCTGGTTTGCTGCCAGGGAATTCTCTCATCCCTGTACCATCTGTCTTTGGACRCACTGATCTTCCTCACACGATCCTCATGTCCTCGAGATACACACATGTGGTCGAGTACCGGGCACCGTAATTCTGTAGTTCTAAATCATTTACCATCATCTGCTGCCAAAGGCGAGAAGCTGTTTTTCTCTTCGTAGCAAAATATCTCATGAACAAGTAAACGGATTTTAAAGTGCCTGTGACATGCATATCTATGAAATACAAAAAGAAAAAAAAAAAATATATATATATATATATTATTAAGAAACTTGGCATAATACATGTGATTTTACCCGTTATGTCACATATTTGGCATATTTTCTTTTGAATTTGCCTCAGCTAAAGTGAAACAGGAAGTGACATCAAAGGGGAACTATTTGAGAAAGAAAACTCCCTGGTTTTTGTTTATTGAAACAATATTATTTGAATCCTGACTCTTTCATCTCCCTACGATAGTGATCAAAATAAYCTAAAGAAACATCAGATTCTTCTCTAGAGTCTGTGTTGTTGGCCATAGTGGCAATGCTCTGTTTGCATTCAAACAGTCCCCTTTGTACATCACTTCCTGTTACTGAAAATGCAAATATCTCAACAACTGTTCATCTCAGCGGCGTGAAATCTTTTCTACAGTATGTTATTAATGTTATCTTTCCAAAAATACATTTATATTTATTACAAAATATTGATGTCACAGACACTTTAATGAAACTCCAAGAAAGCTGGATGTGCTTCTACAAACAACAATGGTTCTAACTGGGTCAGTTTTGCAGATATAGAACTAATCACAAAAGCTCAAAGTAGAATAATCAACCCTACAAATGTTTCCATCTTTTTTTTTTCTTGATTTCAGAAAAAAGCGAGTTGAAATTAGCTACTAGCTCTGTTGTAGTTCATTGTTTAATTAAACCAAGAGAAAACATTTTCCATTTCTTTAAAGCATCTTTTCAGAGAAATTACTAAAAAATATAGAAAGCGACCAAAGTTTCCAACTATTCATTGAGATTTTCGTTAACTTTGGTACTTTAAAGRCACAGTGTGTAAGATTTGTTGTTTTCAGAGACATCTAGTGGTTGAGAGGTTGAATCATCCTCCCTGGTCGAGGGGAGGGAATCGGAATGGGCTGCTTACATGATGCATTTTTATTCTGAACGGCTCTTTAATCCGATTACTTTTGTCCATGTAAACGTAGCAGACAGACAACAAATATTACATTTATAGTATTACAACTAAAACCGTTTTTGACGCCGCCACCGCAGTTTGTCCTTCATGAGCCTTCATAGACAAGATGGCGGTGCAAGATGGCGGCTGCCTTTAGTGGCGACCCGCGACCATGGAGATATAAACAGCTTTTTATAAGGTAAAAATAACAAAACAAAGTCTTTGTCTGCAATGATTAGACATGTTTTTTATTATTGTCATTAGTGATTATCTCAATTTCAGCTAAAAGAATTGACAAAATCCTTCACACTGTGCCTATAAGTTGGAAATTCCCATTTATTTTTGACCACTAATAAACTGCAGGAAAGCTATAAAGAAAAATAAAGTTCTTATCATTCAAATCTAAGCCTAGTAGGGTTGAACTAAGTGCAGCCAAAGGTGTTTATGATGCTTATGACAACATTTTGATGTGTTTACCAGCTGCTGACAGGTCGTTACTTTGTGGCATCATTCCAATCTGTGGTATGATGTTGAACAACCTGGATTAGTAAAACACATGGCTGACAACAAGTTTGAACCTAAAATTGGAATCAGCCTCAGTTGAAATGAAGTCATAAGGAGTATTTGTATCCACATCATTTGTTTGGCCGCACTAAAAACTTTCCTGTTAATATATCAAAATAAAGGAAGGAGGAAGTTGTGTCAACCCACTTCAGCAAAACACGCTGTAATCTTGTGGTATTTTTACCCAGGCCTGTCAGGCATTTCATAAATACCTCAGGACATGGTGTCATCTTCTAATGCGTCCTTAAAAGGTGACTTTAAGTCCCGATGGGGTTGTAATTATAGCCATATGGAGCTTCTTCTGTTTTCTTTATGTGACGGTTTAGTTTTAGATTTAAACTCTTCGACTCAGCAGAATTTTCAGGAGGAAAAAATATTTGTATGTTTGGGGCAAAGCGAGCCAGAATGAGGTCAGTGGTGACTGACAGAGCAAAGAGTTTAGTTTTTATTTCTTCAGTCTCTTCTGGGTTCTGGACAGATCAGAGATCCTCCGAGTTTCCAGAAGGCTGACTCCTCTTTTCTGCTGCCTTCTTTCACTTTACAGCTAATTTCGTTTCCCTTCGTTACTTAGTGGCATCCTGCCTTTCTTTACCAGCAGACAAAATGAACAACGTGAGAGTCATACCATGCCATCGTGTATCTGCGAGTTGGTGGGACTCTCCAGGATCTGCAGCTGTTTCTCAAAGAGCTGAGAGATTGCTTTGTGAACCAACTCGTACTGTTCCTGAACAGAGACACAAAGAGTCAGCCATCACCACTTTTCCGTAAAAACAAACATCTGACACATCCTACATCTGTCCTAATAAATAAAATAGAAATAATGAAATAAGAACCGACCTTTGTTTGGACAGCAGAGTGCCGCTGCGTCCTCATCTCTTGGATCAAATTGTAAACATTAAAATCTTCTGGAATTCTCTTTAGAATTGCAGAAAAAAAATAAGAGAAGTTGAGTTTTGGTTTAACATGGAGGATTTAGAAGTCATAATAAGGTTTGTGAGTGTTTTTTACCCCAGCTTTCAGGAGGTTCCATGTGTAGTCAATCGCACAAATAGCACCCGTCCTCCCACAGCCTGCACTGTACAGTCGAAGTAAAAAAAAAAAAAGAAAAAAAAGCATGAGACATTATAAGATTTTGCCATATAACAGAAGGAAAATCTATAAATATAAACTATTTGTTTTCTTTCTGAAGGGGATTAGAACGTCCATAAAACACAGGTATGTTTGAATAAAACACGTCATTTAGACAGGAAACAGACAGACAGCAGCGACACCGGTTCATCACGTATATAATCGTAAAACCTGATCTCATGCTGTCACAGAGCTTTCTGTRACTTCTAAAGAGCAGTTCCTCCACATCAACCCACACAAAGCAGCTCCACAGACGCAGAGACGCAGCTTTGAGTCCTGCTGCGAAACAGAGGAACCCGGAAATGTCCTCGGGCTGCTCATTACAGCTGATTGCACACACACGGAGAAAAGTGTGCGTGTGTGTTGTGGGTAAACACATGCATGTGTGCAGCTCTGAACCTAAACAACCTACAGTTGGCGATGTATTGAACGCTGTTTTTGTTGTTTTTTTAAAGGAGAGATAATCCTTAACCTTCCTACAGCGGTGAAACCAGGCTGTGGTGCTTTAATATTATAAAAAAATATACATTACATTTGGGTCATCTAATTGTCATAGAAATGAAGCTATTGACAAAAAATGTACAGATATCCCCCGTCGCTGAGGGACTTGAATAATGAACATAGTTTTTGAGATGGACTGAAATTGACCTTTATGTTTTTGGTGCAAGATATTTAAGCTGGTAGAAGTTACAAAATGTATGTTTAATCCACCTCCAGGCCCTATGGCAGAGATGTATTCATCTGTGGCCATCCAAATCACTTGATCTTTTTAAGCAACATAAAACCTAGAAAGCATTTATGGTGGCCATCTTGGATTTTGAAGTGGCAACCTAATTTTCGATCGTGACTTTTCTGACACCAGGATGCAGCCACACACCAAAATAGACGTTAGTACCTCACTTATTTTTCAATTTACCCGGCTCACAAGACAGACAAAGTTCATTTCCAAATCCCCACTTTGCTCTGCAACGGGGGGCCAATCAGCGTTTATTTATTTTTTTGGTTCATCTTAAAATGACACCAGAGTTAAGCTAAAATATATTTGCTTTACTAAAACTGTTGCTCATTTAAACAAACAATTCAAATCGATTATGCAGATTTGTGCTGAGCAATAACAGTTCGTGGCCACAGCTGCTCAGTGTAGGTCCATCAGGCTGGAAATGGATGGGAGAAACTGCATGGCTCCAGGTTTTGAACTGAAGTGGATTTTTTTTTCTTACATGTTAAAATTTAGCTTAAAAAATGATCAACCTTAAAGAAAACTTAAGTGAAACGACTCAAACGGCCTTTATATTTATCTAATCAGCCAGCTGTAATGTATATGTGCCTACCTGCAGTGAATACATATAGGGACGTCGTCGTTCTCTTGGTACTCTCTCATTAGTCCGATCATATCTAGTATGGAGTCGAATGATGACGGGACGTCGTGATCAGGCCAGTTGGTGTAATGGAACTGAGTTATCCTCCGAGTCTCCTGCAGGCACACAGAAATGTTGAAAGCTGAAACTAAATTGCCTGAAAGCGGGAAAAAAACAAACCTCAAAGTGCCGTTCGGTAATATTTCTTGTTGTGACTTACATTATTATACTGCACCATCAAAATCCTTATACAATAATCTGTTCTGGACTGCTCCGATTCCTAAAACGGAAAAAGAAAAAAACAGCGACACAACCTTTAACTGCAACATTCCTTAGAATAGAGTCCATTTGTTGACTCACAACTATAATGTTGCACTTTTTTCAACCTACACAAGAGATTTTGAAGGGGCCGAAAGTCAGGGGCTCCTCGTGTAGCCTTGGAAAATACCGCTCGCACTTTTTCTAAGCAGACAAGAACAGAAGTGAACTTTGAGGCTAAAAAAAAAAAACACCAGACAGATGCTACAGCCGCCTTCACATCAACTCTGTGGTCTGAACTGCACAGCTCGTGTGACAAGCAGAACACAGTTCCAATTATGGAAAATGACACATTATTCTAAAAAAACTTTTTTTTTAACAAGAGAAACTTTGGCAACGTTTAAATTCTGACGTGACTGACGAGCAAGGACAAACATCTTTTGTCCCACTTTACTCTCTGTCAGTTCAGCTGACGGCTCTCTTGATGGAGCCCTGTTTCGGTGTAAYTAGTCAGGTGCAACAGCTTTTTAAAGTCTGGGGACCAATTTGCATATTTAGACACGAGCGAGCTCATATTTCAGAAACATACAAGAGAATTAGACAGATTTTCATCACGTCTACCGAATCCGAAAAAATAATAATAATAATAACATGACCAAAAAAATCTAAAAAATTATTATATTTTCAATGAATTGTAGGCCTTCAGTGACTCTTTGGTACATTACTGCAAAATCTGTAGCTCCGACTGGAGAGAACGGACAGGCCGGGTCTCCTCAGGCTTTACACAGACAGATAAGACCTGAACCAGTCCAGAGCACAGCCCACAATATCCCAGACCTCCATGATATTAAGATGAAGGTCAACCCCGAGTCTCCTGAATCAATATAATATTGCTGAATAAACATAATTTTTGCCGGAGCTTGTATAGAGTTGAACAAAACACAAGTATTTACAAGCTACCCGAGCTATCAGTCACTTTATTTTATCTCCAGTAACCATGGATCAATTGAAACAGCTCAAGGCTTTGGAAACTGCTAACGATTTTGCCTGAAAAAAAAAGAAAAATTTCAAGCGCAGAGAAGAAAGGAAAAAAATACGAAAAGAAAAGCAGCCAAAAAAACCTCTTCAAGGATAAACAAATCGACACAACTATGAAGTCTGCTGCAGCCTTGATGGAAATAAAACCAAACTAAGACGACGACGCACTCAAACATTTTACATCGATTGGCACAAGAAACAGCCTTACCCTTCCCATCTCAAATTCTCGACAAGCCATCACAATAACCTGCAGACACACAAACAGGATGGATTACAATCAATAGATACACACTCAAAGCTTCATTTCCTAAAAATATAATTTAGCTTATTTCTAAGCAGCCTATTCATGAATAGCTTTAAATTAGGTATATTTAAACTACATCAAAACTTACATACAGAGAAATATTAATATTATTCAACTTATATTACAAGTATTATATAATATAAAACACGTCTTTGTTATATTTTTAGTGGGAAATGGAGACTGATAGGATCTTTCCCAGTAAATAATACAAAGACAGCAGTGAGATTAAATCACACAACCAACAACACATGCATGACAGTGATGGGCTGTTATTACAACCTTATCTGTCTAAAAACATGTGTTTTTCATTTATTATAAGTTTTATTTGTGCACAGCTTCCCATTAGTTGTTGACAAAAATAACAAAATAAAATCTATCCTGTTAAATGATTAGATGTAATCTATTATAATTAACTTTATATATAATAAATATTTATTATTAGGAAATTTATCTGAAAGTGAGTCTGTGTATATTAAAATATGGGTATTTGTGTGTAAAAATAAATAGATTTACTTACATACTGTAGATACATTTATGCAGATATGCATGTGTGCGTATAAGTATATGCTTTTTTTGCAAACAGCCAAACACAGCTGTTGAATAATTGGAAATGTATGATTTAATTATTTTAATTCATTTTATTTAATCAGATCAGTGTGCAACTACAATGTAAATGTAAAAAACATTTGATGCATTGCAATGGATTTAGCCTTTCTTTCCAGATAATATGCATCAACGGATAGAGGCTGGATCTCATCCTATTTGGATTATTGATACTGAAATGTTTATTTTTGTGACTATATTATTTTATTGCTTTACTGTATATTCCCATTTCTTTAAGTTTAAAATTCAAAATTGATGGAATCATCATCTCTGTTGACTGGAGTTGTACTCACAGCTGTTTTGTGCTCCCAGTTCATCCTCCAGAAGTCAATGACCGTGTTCGGCAGCGGACCCTGAGTTGCGATGTAGGCATGCGGGCCGTCCACACCCTGAACACACGCATGAATAAAACAAAAACTGTGTATACACCGTGCATTAATCGACACACAGCACTTCAGTCTAAACAAATATTTACCAAAAGAAATAAAAGAATAGAAGCGAAGTGTTACCTTGATGAAGTTTGCGTTGATGTAATCTGTGTCCTGATTGGTTGTTTTTAATGTCAGTTTTACTCTACTGTGGTCAACTGAGGAGAACAACACAAATGCTTTAATACTTTAAACATAGACAAAGATTGAAAAAATGTAAAAACTGTTTGATGCATGAAGTCATTTGTTTGTCGAAGCCTTTCTGTGTTTGAGTCCAACTGTTTGGGATAAACCGGTTCTCCCTCTGCTCCATCAGCTCATTCACTAAAAGCTTTAATACATGAATGAATGGATGGAAAAGGAGGATAAACATAAAAAAGTAGGACAGATGTTGGGTCATATAAGGGAGCCTGAGGTAGTAACTCATGACCTGTTAAAACACATCAGTGCTTCTTCTGTAAACACTTTTTTWAAAGTATTTAACAGAAATCTTTATATATTTCTCGTTGTTGTCCCCAAACTTCCTGGCCTTTGCCCTTTTTTCTAGCACTGCATTTTCATCTTTTTTTGCAGCACAGGTGCTAATATCACTACAGATTAAATGTGGATTTGTTGAGTCAGGCAGTGACCTTTAAAGCTGCAGATAAATGCACKAAATGTTTAAAGCTCCTTCCCTAGCAGTACACAAGGCTGCATGGAAATCAAGACTCACACACAAAATGTTCATGCATTCTATCTAAAGACATGTGGCTTAAAGCTAAACTGYTTAATGACATAAGAGCTGAAGCGCTTCAGTGGCAGTCAGCCAGATCTTACATGGCAGTATATCTTTATATCTGTTCTTCTTCACGTTCTCCTCCCGCTCTCCTATGTTGGTCGGGTAGATCTTCTCTGTGCGGTACTTTGTCGATAGCCGCCGTAAGCGCTAAAATAAACAACAGCAGGACAATACTATTAGACAATTTWAAAAAAATGAATTACATATGATCTGTTAGCAGCTGTAAATTAGTCAACACAGTAGAAAAAACACAAGCTAGATKAATAACTTGAAGCRAGATGAACCCGAGAAGACAGTCATWCAGTTCATCAGCACCAGAATCAGATTTAACAATCTCAGCCTATCAGTATCRGACATGGCTTCAGGGCTAAAAGGGAATACTTTATTCAGGTTAAACAACATTTCAGATGAATAGGATCAGCTGTTTGTTCAGGATATACATATGTTAAAGAAAAAATAACCCGTTTTTCCAACACTGCAGTCTCACAAACACTCCTTTTCTCTGCATGATGCTGCATAAGTTCAGTGCAGCCGAATCTAATAAAGGCTGACGCTGATGAAGACGCATTCAGTTAATGGAAAGAGAACAATTACACTGAGTCTCTGCTGAGTAACTGTCCTTAAAGCCAAAAATAGACTTTCAACAACAGCAGAGAAGACACTATTTAGTCTTATTCCTAATCAGTTCAGATATGTAGAAACATCCATCCATCATCCATCCATTTTCTGTACACGCTTCTTCCTTTTCAGGGTCACGTGGGTCACTGGTG